ATAGCTACAATGAGTGGCTTTAATCTATCCACCAATGTTACCAGTCCATGCAATTTGTTGAATAAAGAATAAGGATTTGTACATTAAACTTATAAAGAGAATAATCCACCCATATGGACGTTGGTAGGCTTCGCTTTCAAGACCTGTGTTGTGTCTTTACGGCCCGCTAGTTATCACGTAATTTATTCTCCGGTCGAAATACGACTTACTGCTTCTCACCTAAAACTAAACCCTCGAAACATACACTCAATTAGATTCAGCATATCACATGCAACCAAAAAAGTCAGTGTATTGTAAGTGAAAGTTTTAAAAGCAAAATTTAGCCAGAAATAAAAATAACTTTTACTGTTACTACCCCAGATCAAAATAATCCTTCTGTGAACACAAACATTACAGTAATGTCAATCTACCATATCTTGTTAAACAACTGTCGACATAAGATGGGACTTGCGGCTATGTTTGTTTATACTGTGCACAACCTAAAGAACAACAGTGGAAACTCGTCACGTTAAACTAGAACATATATGTTCTGCTGCCCTTCGAGGATTCTTCCGTAGTTTCCCACATGTCCTGATAATACTATTCCGTAACGATGCCATGGAGTTTAGCAAGCCATTTCTCAATGATGAATGACAACAAGAACTGTGACGACAGTGTTCCTAATGATAAAAAAAACATTTTACTTCGCCTGCTGCCATTAAACCTCTTTTCAATGAAGTCCCAAGTGGTGTGAAATGGCTAACGATCTCAGTTTTTTAATCAGATGGTGAAATATAGCGCCCGGAAGTTTTAGAATTAACTTCGGCTAACCGTGTCACTAAGGGAATCTGGAATTTGAAGCAATAATTCAATGAAGTTGATAGACTTACAAATTCGTCCTTCATGCCTTCATCCAAAGGCCATGCATCTAACGTTTGCCGCTCCTATCAAATTACAAAAGAAACAGCTAAGTTGACAGTCGGATACCCTATTTTCGGGAATGATCACTCCCATCAAACCTAGGCACTAGCTGAATAATGTTTTCAATCAAGTCTGAGATGGTATTTTCTGTCAAACAGCGTGCAATTTATCAAATCTTAGGCATTGACTTAAATCCGAAATGTGACTTACTTGGTCGCTAAGGCACTGCCAACATGTTTCAACGAGGAAGTTGAGGGCGATTCAGCTAACTGTATTGGATGTATTTATTATCATCAAATAAAACTGTTGTATTGACCAGTTTTGGGAATACACTTACAGTATACATCGTTAATCGAAACCCATATGTTCATGAGTAACTACCGAGAACATAAATATGCCTAGTGACTAGGAGGGAGTGTTTTTTTGAAGTAACTACGTGGGTTAGTGAATGCCCCAAATTTAATTAATACTATTTCCCCAGGTCAGTATATAGCCTGGGTTTATTGTGTACTTGTATTAAATTATCAGTTTCGAATGGGACTGATCTAGTTTTATTACGCATTATCGTTTTTTCTTATAGTCAGATCTGACGCAGGTCTATACAATAGTTGTTAGAATGATAGTGTGAAGCCTATCATAGGAAGAGGTCTTTTCTGCATAGCTCTGGGCTATTTGCTTTGCTACAACTTGACCACTATGCACCGATTTCTCAATCTACTTTATATTAGACTCAAATAGATATGAGGTCGAAGAATCTCGAGCTCCATGTGAGCAAACATCATCAGAAAGATGCTTCGACGAATGTACATGACAACTTATTTTTCTGTCCATAACTTTATTTGTATACCGCAAAAATAGGTAGCTCTGCTTTTTAATCCAGGATGCACGAAGACTATATTAAAAATGCTAAGCGCTATTACTTTAAATACAAAAGTTGTGGCAAAGAATGTTTAAGAATGATAGAGCCTAAATAGGGAAGGAGCGCTTAACACTGTCACATTCCATACTGAGAAAAAGTTTAATGTACGACATTTATGCTGAAAGTTTGAACACAACTCAAGATTAACTTACTTATGTCCATAATCATAGATTTGTCCCTGGGTCTTTTTCGAGGGAAATCAAGCTGTTAATTGATATGTTTCTTTTTCTCATCCAAGTATACCATGTGTGGGCCTCAAGGGAATCTTTAGATAATATTAATCACAAGTGTTTCGAAATCAGTATGGCTCTGATAGTGAATTGGTTGGATCTTGTGATGTAAGATGTCATAGGTTCGTGGTGCATATCTATCATTTGTAAGCGCCATCTTTCTTTAAAGATGACCCACTAAAACACACCTATTGCGGCCTGCTTTTCCATAGTGATCAGGTGTACATCTAACATATGAACGAGCAGGTGAACAAACAGATTACAGCTACTAGTTTAATAGCCATAGGGCTCTCATTTCTTTTATTACATAAATGGTGTCCGAATATAATTCATCATATCTAGCCAACTTGGTATTCCCTCCACAAACACCAGTCATGAACAATACTAAACCTAGGGGCAAATTCACGTCCTAATATACGTCATAACTGTTGATTAGGATCAACTGAAAAGATTAGACTGTCCACATTAATATACAAGTTTAACGTATCGTAATTGAAAGTACCCAACCAAGGTTCATTATATCTTATCAGGTTAGCTTTTAATCTTAGATGGTAGCAAACACCCGTGCTGATGTACTTAAGTTTGACGCTTAGGCACGTTCGTAGGAGCCTTCTACGCCCCCTTGGTAAATCCGGGATCAAATCTCAAAACGCACTTTTCGTGCGGTCAGCATCTCTGTTGGCCTGACAGCTGATTGTCATCAGTTTCAACAGTGCAATATATGATTATAATAAGGATAGAAGCAAGCCGTAATTTTATTAGTATCAATTAAGAACAAGATTTTCAATATGACTACTGCCAAAACGATACTAAGCAAAGCAAAAATGGATAGTAGTCAGGACCCTGAAAACATCTAAGAGTTGACCACGCTTTGTAGATGTTGAGCGATATGAGAATATGTGCAAATAAATCAAAAGGAAAACAAAATGTGAGTGGATATAGTCGACAGAAGAAACGACAGTTTAGAAGAAAAAAGAAGAGAGTAATCATGAGGAAAGACACATGAATTTTTTTCTTGTACTTCCTTGAAAGAACATGTAAATGAATTCCGAACACTTCCCTTTAGTCCGTTGACTGACAGAACCTCTTTGCCAAGCACATACCGAACTCAACGTGTCGCCTCTTCATCTAAAGTCTAGTACCTGAGAACGCACCAGGACTAAGCGGTATGTCTAAAACTAATGGTGTCTCTCCAACGGCACAGACAACCAGCCATATCGTAAAGCATTGCATAATAAATGCAGTGAAACAGTCAAATGGCGGAGAATAGTTCCCTGAACTTGTCTGCATAAATTACTGGAAAATAATGGAATTATGACATGAGGCTGGCTCACATCACACCAATCTTCAAACGAGGTCGACGCAGCGAACCTTCAAGTTACCAACCAGTGGCTCTTCTCTCCATACCCTCGAAAATCATGGAATCCCTGATATGCGACGGTATAAATGACTATTTACTGTCCTTAAATTTCTTCTCACCCCAATAGCATGGTTTCAGGAAGGGTTACTCTTGTATTACCAACCTGCTGCCTGCGATGGACAGATGGACAAGAATCCTTGATCACAAGGGGAAGGTTGATATAATCTACCTAGATTTTTTAAAAGCTTTTGATAAGGTTAACTATAAATGTCTTAACAATAAGCTCAAAAGATTGAGTATCAGACCACCTCTAATCGATTGGCTCACGTCATACCTGAAAAATCGACATTTTAAGGTCAGGGTTAATTTCACTGTATCTCAGGCTATGGAATGTCCTAGTGGGGTCCCCCAGGGCTCAACACTAGGACCTCTTCTCTTCTTGATCTACATAAATGATCTTCCTCAACAGGTAACGTCAGACTTATTACTTTTCGCCGATGACCTGAAACGTTGGAGAGAGATACGCAACTAAGATGATATACAGGCACTTCAGGAGGATCTGACTCGACTTCAAAGTTGGGCAGACGATAACGGACTTACCTATAACACTTCAAAGTGTAAGGTAGTCCATCTGCGACATGTCGCAGACTACAGTTATAACTTAGGTAACTCCTCTCTAGTAGTATCCCAAGTCGAAAAAGATTTAGGAGTCTTGGTGCCCTACGATTTAAAGTCTTATGCTAACTGTGACAAAAATGCCTTCCGAGCAAACCTTGCACTGGTAACACTGAAGCGGATTTTTCCTCAGTTTGACGGAAGAACTTTCCATATAATCTTCAATAGTTTCATCCGTCCCCATTTAAAGTACGGAAACATAGTATTCCCCCCTCACTCCAAAAGGATAAGGACACCCTGATGCGTATCCAACGGCGAGTCACGAAATTAGTTCGAGGACTCAAATTTAAACCTTACGAAGAGCGCCTCCATTCACTTAACCTTTGCCCATTAGAGTATAGACGTCTTAGAGGTGACCTTCTGATGGCCTATAGTATCCTTAACACTTCTGGACATCCTCTCAAACACCTACTTAAGCTTAGTTCCAACACTAACCTAAGAGGTAACACCCAAATGCTGGAGACACAACATAGCAGAACGGACTGTAGACACAAATTCTACTCCTAAAGAGTTGTCAAATGCTGGAATTCGCTGCCGGCCGAGCTAGTCCAAGCGACTTCCCAGGAGTCCTTTATGAGGCAACTTGATCAATTCTTAAGGACTAAGGTTAGTTTCGCACTATGATTTACTAATTTCTTCTCCTATTTTATTGTTAACATACCTAGGTTCATGCCTGGAGGATTCGGTGATCCCCTGCTACTAGACACGGAAGCCTGTTAAGCGAAAGCTTCTATTCCGTCCACTACCATTTCCACCACTATAGTAAATGTGAGTACCTCCAATCGATCCCTACTAAAAATGAAAATTAGTTGCGAGAAAGCTTTGATTGCTTCAGATTTGACCAACTGAAGCTACTGAAAGCCGTAAGCGAGAATTGGGGATTGAAATCCGATATTTGCCTCTTGAATCCTTCCATTTGGTGTAGCGCCAGTTTTGGTCCTAAATGTAAGTTATTCCGTAAGCATTGAATAGGCTTGGGCTCAGGCCGGTTCTGTTTTCTTTTCTACCTTGTAGACTGTTCACATCTTTCCAGAAAGTTACTTCCTCCAGTCACTGACCAAATATCCATCAACTGCGCGATAACAAGCATCATACATACGCTCAGTCATCTTCAAATCTTGAAATCCTCATCCAGTTGGGCATTCAGTCTACTAGTGCTATTGGTGTTCACGAATTCACGTAGTGAAACAAACGAAGTTTGTGGAACCTCCAGGCACTTGATTATGGATTCAGTTAGACAAGTTGTTACACGTACTGCTCTTGGACTTGCCGAGTATGTAACACCTATACTAAAAGAGTCTAAATTCCGGGAAACAGGAGTCATCACTCCTGAAGAGTTTGTAGCAGCAGGCGACTTTTTAGTTTATCATTGTCCAACTTGGCAATGGGCAACTGGCGATAAAGGTACTCGTCCTTATCTTCCCAAAGAAAAACAGTATTTGATTACTCGCAGTGTACCGTGCTACAAAAGAGTGAAGCAGATGGCAGATCATAACGAAGAGTTTGAGGAAGTGTTAGAGGAAGAGGATGGTGATGGTGGTTGGGTAGACACACATCATTATGCGATTAAAAGTGACAATCCTGAGATCGAAAATGCGAATGAAATGACTGTTTTGAAATCAGATAATGTATTGAACCATCAGCAAAGTAACACAGTTTCCGATTGTGATGAAGAAGAGGATGAAGATATGGAAGCTTTCTTGCAGAGTGGTATGTTGGATGAATGCGATCCAGCAGCTGTTAATGCCCGTACAAAGGTACTTAATACATCAAGCTCAACAACATTACATTCCGGAGTAGACCAGAAGGCAAATTGTGAAAATAACGGGATTCTGCAATTAAGAACTTATGACCTATATATCACCTACGATAAATATTATCAAACTCCACGTTTATGGTTGTATGGTTACAATGAACATCATCAACCGTTGACGGAAGCTGAGATGTATGAGGACTTCAGTCAGGATCACGCGAGGAAGACTGTTACGACTGAAGCACATCCACACTTGTCCGGCCACATGATGCCATCGATTCACCCATGTCGACAGGCTGATGTAATGCGGAAATTAATTGAGGCTGTAGCTGACGGTGGGGCTGAATTAGCTGTTCATCAATATCTTATGATATTTCTAAAATTTGTCCAAGCTGTTATACCTACAATTGAATATGATTATACACGAAATTTCAATCTCTCTTCATTTGCTTAATGTCAGTCGTCTTCATGATTTATATGTTCTGGCAGTTTTATTGACCCATGGGACTATTATGGTTAAAGCTTCTTTATAGCTTGCTTGTATTTCATCTTTTTATTTTAAAAGAAATCATAATGCTCAGATGTTATACTCCTATGCCTTTAAAGAGGATCATTTGTTGACTTTAATGAATAATATATACGGGTTTGTGTAAATGCTCTTTTTTGAATTCAAAATGAAATCCCCTACATATATACGGTTAGCACTGCTCTATTTGTCTATTTTGTTCTTGGTTACTTGTGAACATGTGTTCCTCTCGACAAAAAAAACATAACTGAGTTGGTTCTCGATGGATCATGTGCTGATCGACTTTTCTTTTGAGGAGAAGTGTAAAAGTTGGTCAACTCGAATGATCTTACTGGTCTTAAAATGACGCTGGTTTTATCCCCTATTTTATAGACTACCCTGAGCCCAAGACCATTATCTTTAGTCACTGACTGATCATCTACCAGCTATATATTGACTTGAATTGTATATTATTAGCTAACTCGCCAGATTCTCACGCATGTGCCACTCAGTCTTTTATTGGAGGGCATCCTAACGGCGAACATTACGGTCGCTTCTCTACAGATGAGTCATACAGCGTGCAGTATTTTGGACAGAGACCATACTAGCTCACACCCCATGATTCCTTCGGTGCTTGAATTAATGCTTTCATCATCCTCACTCTATCGTAGTGAGAGCAATGTTCTTTCTGCAGGGAATTCTGTGTAGGACTTGGTCGTCTATATAAGTTTTAAATGTGATTCTAGATGGTCTTACTGGGCTTCAGCTGACTCCAGTTTTATTGTTTTCTACCTTGTAGACTACTCATCTCGGTCTGTAAAATCATTTCAATTGCTGACTGAGTACATATCAACTACGTTGAACTCAATATCTCACAATTCGTATTGCTCCTAAAGAATGAAAGGTGGTTTCCAGCCGTTACTCACTATTTCGCGTTCGTATAATCCTATTGTAATTCGGAATCCAGATAGAATGTCTAGAATAGTAAGTCAACAACTATTCATCTTATTATTTTTCAGAGGCAATTCGGATTTCTAGCCTTCTTTATGCTCCCAATGGCCGGCGCACTTGCAATAGCCACAACCTTCAAAAAGCATTCAAAGGATTACAAGGGTCCACAAATAGTGAATTAATGTAGTGTTTGTCAGTCATTATTTTATATAGTTTAGAAGAGACTAGTGTTTATTTGTTCGTTTACATGGTAAAATAACCTTGAGCTGGTGAAAGTTTGCGCTGAACATCTTTCATTAGTGTCCTACGTAGTTCACTAAATTCAATAATTGAAAGATAAGTTCCCTGGACAGCATTCTCCCGGTATACACTAAAGTCGAAGGTTTGTCCAGCCATTAAAAATAGTATATTAGAATCTAGTGGTTCACAGCAGGTAGCGAGTTTCACTGCATAAAGTTCCCTTATATGTAATAGGGGATAGACGCGTTACTCATTTTCACGAGAGTTTAATGCTCTCGAGATTTCATTTTACACCTATTGATCAAGGATTGACAAGTCATTAATGCAGATTAACTTTGGTCCTTCATCTTAAATTGTTTTAGCTTCTCAGTGAATTCCTTTTGTCATCTATATGATCCTTATCCAGACTTACAAACCGTGCATAGTTTGTCAGTTTCATATAAGTGATTTGAGTTTTCCCATTTCTAGTAGGAGATGGCGTATAAGCGAGTCTGTGATAACTACTGTTGTTACAAACACGAATGGCCACTGTTTGTAATTTTATTATTCCAGAAGAGGTAGCCACTACATAAAGTTACTTCCGTTTGTTAAATCAAAATGTTTATGCTTAAGGCACTCTGTAGACATCGCACATGGCAGCTCCCGAAACCAGTCTAGCCATGTACTCACAATGACAGTCCCACCAACTATTGCCGGATCGAATCAGTATAAGACTCTCATTCTGTTGCGTGCCTGTTCGTCATACTAGATGCAACCCCAGAGGGATTAGTTTAACTAATATAATATCTAAAATACTAGCCTCAATAATAATCAGACGCCTAACTAAGACTCGTGAACTGCAAACACGAGAAAACCAAGCTGGCTTCAGACCTGGTCGTGGCTGCATCGACCACATATTCACCATTCGTCAGGTTCTAGAACACAGGCATACTTATCGGCGTCCGACAATGGTGGTCTTTCTTGACTTAAAAGCAGCATTTGACTCGGTAGACCGCGAGATTTTGTGACAGTGTCTGTCATTGAAAGGCGTACCCCAGAAGTACATAAACCTTGTAAAGGCTCTTTACTCGAACACTACTAGTCGAGTGAGAGCTTATGGCGAACTGTCATCTACTTTTGCAACCTCAAGTGGTGTCCGTCAAGGCTGTCCACTTTCCCCATTTTTGTTTAACTTCATCATAGATCTACTGATGGAAATAACTTTCTCGTCGACTGAATTCTCGGGTATTGATCTCCTTCCAGGAGGTACACTTATCGACTTAGAATACGCAGATGACATAGTCCTGTTTGGTGAAGACTCTGACAAAATGCAAAGTCTTCTGGTAGCACTGAGCAACAATGCCAGGATGTTTGGAATGCGCTTCTCTCCCTCGAAATGCAAGTTGTTGCTTCAGGACTGGTCTGCGTTAACACCTGAACTAAGGATAGGGAGTGAAGTAGTCGAACGCGTTGACAACTTCACTTATCTTGGAAGTCTGATCAGCCCTAATGGGTTGGTATCGGACGAAATCTCAGCACGGATTCGAAAAGCTCGTTTGGCTTTTGCCAACTTACGTCACCTGTGGCGAAGGCGAGATATCCGTCTATCAATAAAAGGACGAGTATACTGCGCGGCAGTCCGTTCTGTTTTAATTTACGGCAGCGAAACATGGCCATTAAGAGTAGAAGACACTCGTAAGCTATTAGTATTTGACCACAGATGCCTAAGAAATATTGCTGGCGTCTGCTGGGATCACCGGGTAAGTAATAGTGAAGTTAGACTCAAGGTATTAGGGAATGATGGTAAATCAGTTGATGAGGTTGTGAATCTTCATCGACTGAGATGGTTGGGCCACGTGTTACGTATGCTTGAACACCGATTACCACGACGTGCAATGCTATCCGGTATTGGAAATGGTTGGAAGAAAGTTAGGGGCGGCCAAACCAAAACGTGGCATCAGTGCTTGAAGTCACTAACTTCTAGTCTGAGCCATGTTGGTAGATGCAGACTACTTGGTTGGGGTCCGCGTGACTATCGTAACCAATGGTTGCAGACTCTTGGTGACATGGCTCACAATCGATCACAATGGCGTCGGTGTATACACTCCTTGTCTTCCCTTAAACTAAGAGATTAAGATCGCTTCATATCTTTCTTTCTACGAACCAATTCTTTCTTCTTGTACTATATCTCTATATGCAATCTTTCTCTTATATACTACCACCTTTTACCTAACTACTGTTATGAATCCGGTGTTCATCTTGTTGTGCTGATGCGGTATGGCAACCTGGTCCTACGTTGTAGCTGACTGATTGAATGCAAAACCACAACAGGGACATTACTTAGAGTTCAGCTTAACAGTGGAAAGTTGACCAATCATAAAAGCGATATTCATCCCTATATAATTTGAGATAATGTCCGAAGTGCTTAGATATTTATTAATGACGAAACAAAAAGCTTGAAAACATGAATTTAGGTGGCATCTATTGAAGTGGTAAGTGCTCAGAAACTTACCCGTCAATCTTTGAACGCGAAGAGCGAAGGCAACATGGAGGTTAACAGGGAGTTTACGCAACTATCGTTTGCTTGTTGTAGGAAAGGTAAACATCTGTCCACTCAATTAACGAAACGACCGTTTGAATTTCCAAGTACTAGTTCATTAAAACATTTTTAAAGGTTGCGGCCATTTCGGACATCTAAAAAGAATATGATTTGTTTCAGTGACATCAGATTTTCAGAACCCACTAATTTGTATCGCAAGAAATTTGCCTTAATAGCTTTCATCGTAAAAGTACCAAAATCTGATTGGAGGTTACCTTCGAATTTTTATTGGTTGAGTGAGAACACTATATCGGCATTCGGAACTAGACTGTAGTTTATAGAGTTTCTGTTTCATCATAAAAACAAAACATGCGGGGCTGAGTTTTTCTAGATTTAAACGTAGCAGGCGTTATATATTGAAACGACCTAGTACATATCACTTGGTCAATAGTATACAGACAAAATAGCTCACATCAAGACTTTAAGTGGAACTGTATACAAAATGCATTTTTCTTCCACCCAAGTGGTAATTTATCAGTAGTTTCTTTTTAGATAGGAAGTATCTACATATGCAAGTCTGATCATTCACATCGAGCCGACCATATATTTATTAACACTAATGAAGACCCTAGACTTCCAGACTATCCATTAATCTACCGTAGTTTAAAAACTACATCGCTAGCGTCTCAGTTACTTATTTGTCTTAATTAAATGGACAACTGCAGCAGATTACAGATACACGTGAATGTTTTTTAAAATATTCAGCTTACATCCATCCTAAGCGTGTAAAACGTCAGTAGTGTAACCTGGCTATGAATGTTATCTAAAAAAGTACCGACAATTCAAAAGAAAACTTATGAATATCGAATTTCAACGAGATACCGCCGCCGAACTCCTAAGCAAACAGATCTCGAAATCCCTGGATAAAACGTATTACCCAGCTAAGCTCTGTGTTGTTTCCTCGAGCCGGTCTACCATTCACGAATTTTCGATTTGCATCTATAAATTTAGTCGCTACCGTGGGTCATGCTACACCAGTCACTCCCAAGCGCATTTCAGAATACTGCCCGGCGCGGCTTTTAGGAAGGGTCCAAAACAATCAGTTCAGTATATGAGCATCTGACCAACTCATGAGGAATCTTTCCTCAACATAATATACACACTCAGAGAAACTGAGTCAAAGCCAAATAAAAACACGCTGGAGACTTACCCATTAATCTCCGAACTCTATGTGCAAACGCGAGACGTCCAACCTCTCATCCTTCATTTGCGTTAATACGCTCCTGCATAATGTCCTTATTAGGTTTGTGATTTTAGACTGTAATCAGTGATTACTTACCTTTAAAAATTCTTCACTCAGTTATTATGGACTTTATGCTTAGTTTTTTCTTCATACCTGTCAAGGGGATAACTATCTTTCAAAAATCTAACTCTTAGATTACTTCCACCCTATTCTTCTCTAACCCCCGGATTATTGCGCGCCCTCTCAGATCACGTTATGATACGACCCTTTCTATCCTTCTATATACTTTTATTTGCCATACAACTATAAATGTGAATGTACAACTTGAGTAGATGATTTCATTGTAAAGAAAATTCCTTTGGTGGATCTTTTTTATTCTGCATACTAATTGTCAACCGACTTTAATATTTCTGGAAAGAATTCGGCATGATGGTAAAACCTAGTACTAAATAATGGGATCAGAAGTCAGTTGTATAGTTAGGATAACGGAGAGTGGGTTTGGAAAACGCTATGGCATCTTCTGGAGACATCCATTCCTAAGGTAATTGTGGACCATTCATTTGTGACATTAATAACTAATGTACTATGAAACTTGTAATACACTGAACACACTAAATTTATTGAATTAACAACAAAATCGTGAATGATTGGTGATATTATATTCATAGTTTAAGGTGCGATATACTACGAACGGCATTTTGCTGCTTAGCTGTAGTTTCCAGTCAGCGAGCGTTAAGTAAGCAACCACGCACAGCAAACTTCAGGCACTACATGACCAAATAATGGTTGTAAATTCATAATTATCAAGAGCGAAAACAGATCAATTTGCTATTTGTAGTACTCTGTTGCGTAGTTAAACAAGGTAGTGATTTCAAATGCAGTAGAAAACGAGATTTACAAATATCTGAGTTTGGCTTTCATGGTAAAGGTTCCACGTAATCTGGATAAATGTCGACTTCTGAATTCGGTAATTTAGACCATTCCATAAGACGATGAAATGTCGTGAAATGTGTAAGGAATGCAGATGGAATAGCCACACCTTGAACACGATAGACAACGTTACTTGAAGATCCTCGAAGATGACCTATTCGGGAAAATGAACTGATGGATATTTTTCCAATAAGGCCAGTTGATCGGATTAATGGGCCATTAGTGAAACACTAACAAAGATGAAAAAAGATTGTTGTACGGTCAACAAATTTTGTGTCTAACAAATCACCAAAAATATTATACATTTCACACAATAAAACAATAAGATGAATATTGCTCTCACATAATTTTAGACTGAAATCACATACATAGCATATCTTACCTTTTCGACACGTAGCAAACTGTATTCAGCCCAGTGTCTCAATGAGATTTGCATTTACCGATGCATCCGCTTATTATTAACATACATGTGATATAAGCTTAACGCACTATTTCATTGGCCGCCAAATGCCCTGGTACGGCCGAGGGTGGGAAGAGTTAGGTTTCTCGAAATTCTCTCACATGACAGGGAAGTCCTACTCACTGCCTTATCGTAGCGGGAGTGTTTACGAAATTAAGAGGACGGAGAGTCCACCTGGTGGAGTTGGAAAACCCTGATTCCAAACCATTGGTGCACATGGGCTCCAGTATCTTGGACGAACAAACTGTGTATGAACCAATTATTAGTCACCGGCCTCAACGGGACTGCATCTCCTTATGTTGCTACACTGTCTTTTGGATTAGATCTCTAGGTCGAAAGCTCCGGGTGTGATCCGCTAGAAAGTTACCTCCGGTCTGGGTACCCCGGCAGTATCGCAGTACACACACAAGCCAACTGACCTATGCGGCACATATGTAGTCGGCGCTCCGCTGTATGGATATTTGTGTTCAAATAAAATGCCTCACTGAATGCTTTTCTATATCTGCATTCATATGTATCATCACAATATAGAAAGAATTACGCCTTAACCAAACTATCTTTTAAAATATTTGTAAATAAGCTGTAATACAATTATTTAGTAGGGAATGATGATACTAACTGGTTAATTCACTGACAGAATGATTCAGACTTAGCAACTGATTGTTTGGTGAACAAGCTCAAAGTAATTATTCACAGCTCTACGAATGCCTAAAAACTTATTTCTTTTTCTTGAGAAAATGTAACAGTACGTTACGATTGAAATGATGGGATATTTTACATTAGTTTTTTAGATCCATCTGATAATTGTGACCTACATTTACTAACGTGTGACTCTATTTTGAATTAAGTCGATAGACCTAAATCAGTAAGAACCTTCACTACTTAACGGTACAGTAACCATTTTATGTAAATACAATGTTATGATAATAGGTAGAGTTTGATGTCGGTACCTCAACAAATTCCCCCACTCGGTATACAGGTAGGGTGGACCTTTCTGTAAATCTATCCTTGTTTGAAGATAAGTCAAGTTGTAGTGCATTACTATTGTCTTGATGTTCGTTGAATACATGACTAATTTGTTGTGATCTTAACGGATTGTCAGCAAATAACTTCTGAAGTAGTTCACTGTGAAGTGATACATCTAAAGGTTCAAAACTTAAGTCGTCCGCAGCCATCCGTTGAATATGTGTATTTAATGCATATAATTCTTGAGGTGAAGGCGTCCAATTCTCTAAAGATTGATGTCCAGGATTAAATGAAATATCACATACGAATCCACCACTTTTTGGGTTAAGTAAAGGGAGATTGATTACACGAACATTATGTTTTTGATGAAAAGCTGTTTCTAAAGTGGCGGCTAGAAGGAGTGTACATGATTGCCAAAATGCGTTATTTGCAACCGTCGGATCGTAATGAGGACCCTATCAAATAAAAAATAGTGAACAATTGTACAATATTATTGACGGAATCCATATATTACGGATAGACATTGTGTATATTACTATTTTGTTGTCTAGGATTTTTTGGAATCATCCTGTTAGTATTACTTGCATGAATGCATTTATCACGAACTGACTCCATTTAGCGTAAACGTAAAAACTAACTAAGAATGGATATTTGTGAAGGCTTTTGTACCACAGTCCTAACATTCAGGACTACAAGTGACCGTCCTGGGTTCAGATACAAACTGATTATCAATAATTTCATACTGATTGCACAAGTTAGTGACCAGTAGCGGGTCGACAATCTAAACGAAGGACATTAGGTTCGAGTTGTGGACGCCTAGACTGAGACCCAAACATATCTTGCTAACGATTAGTCGCTTCTTTATTTACGCAGTCTACATAAGTGTTCATTAACGAATTCAGCTTAAGCACTGAGAAGTGTGTTAGGGATGTGTAATCCACTAATACAACTTATGAGAAAGGAAGTCAACTTAAGGTTAACTTTCAGCACATTTTCGTTACATTCATTTACCAACTTTCAGTGTTTAGTTACAATTACTCAGATAATGAATCCTAGTCATTGTAGCTCATATATAGCCGACTAACTTAAGCGTACATTTAATTTTACTGGGGACGTTAAGAAACTGAACTTCCCGTCCTAGTTAGCGGACTGGGAAAGAAAGGGATAGAAGTAGTATCGTCTGGTTTTTGAAAAATTAACCCAATGCATAAATTCATCAGAGCGAATTGAAAAATTCAATTTCTATGGTATGGAAAATAAATAGCTTTCTAACATAAAGGGTACTATGACAGCAACTGCATGTAAACGCTTTTAAACAATTACGACAATCTGGAACAAACCTTGAATTGCACAAAATCAAGTGAGCAATCACATGACAGTGGCCGGTTCATATCCCATGGATTATTGTTAACCATAGCAATAACACTTTCTTTGACCAAGATCTCAGACAAATGCTTTGCACAATCTAGAGGTGTTGATATACCTTTAGTCATTTCCAAAGTTGATTCCCCTAAAAATCCACGATATGTAACTATGACTTTCTCAACACGTGGTGACAAGTAAAGGTTAACTTGCTGTTCTTTAATTTCGTTCCATAACTGTAAACAATCACGATGGCGTGGAATTTCAGACACTTTGTTCATACAAAGATTGCTACATAACCTAACACTGAGAAGCAATTTTTGTCTCCACATTTAGTAAACGGTAGTTGGAGAATCTGAAACATTCAGAAAAACAACAATCTCAGATATATAGGGAGAGAGAAAAATAAAAATATTAATGGCATGAAAAACTTATATTCGTCCAAGTCCGCATTTAATAGTTCCAGAAGAATTACTTCACACTTTAAACTAATTTCATCATTAACTACTACATTCTTAGATAATGCGAAGAGAAAACAGCGTTTAACCACATGATATATTAACGAAATACATTTTAAACAATCTGATCATATATTTACTTATCGAGACATCAGAAAAATAAATGCTAAACTAGACATATTGGAATACAGACGTGATAATAATGAAAAACGATATGAATGACGGCATTTTGGATGATAAGTTAGTATTACCAGCATACATTTAACGTATATGAAAATTATTTTCGAGCATAGGCAAGCTTCCGTATCACTAACGCTCTAACAAACCCAAGTATTTGCCTTATATAACTTCTACACAAAACTAAGTACGCTGAGTTAAGACCTGTCTTATAACCGGTTTTAACCATGAGTTAGGCAATGGGAGATGTGTGTTTGTCATCCACCTGTTTTTATTTATTTATTAAAACATGAATAATGGGCACCCAGATACACGCTTCACAATAAGAAAACGACACCGTGACGATAGAGAAAGCTGAGTATGATGAGATATGGGATAAAAGTGAGTACTGAATAGTAGGAGGAGCAGTCTAGTTAAGAAAAATACAACTGGAAAGAATCCTAATAGTTAAGTTTCTTATTTTTTATGAAAAAGTAAAAAAATACAACAGCGCCGCCACTAAATTCTTTTCTGAACTATGCCTGATAACGTCTCAAGCCACTGAATTGCCCTGTCTTTAGGACCCTAACCAGGAAGCTGTGAAGGGCCGGTAGGTGTCAGTTTTGTGCCTATACCGTGTCCATCATCCCAGCGCTGGTTAAACGTACATCAAAGTAGCTGCGAAAATGAGGAGTCAAATGCCCAAACGTATAGTTTTAAATATTTGCTGTAACAAAGCATTCCTCATCGCAGACATAAGAAGACTACTATCGAGCACACTGTCGGATCCAATTGGGGATAAACCTTTTCAATTTATAACAGGTGAATTGAAATCCTTCAATATCAGGCACTGGTTACTTTTACACCAGAGCTTAATGTGCTCTAAAACGAAATCATCAACTGAGTAGATTAGGATACGATAGATGAAACATAAAAGTTGGTTCACAACTAGTAACCTGCTAAGTTTCACCATCATGCGTCTTACAAGCAAAGAGATGTAAATGCAAACTCTTTAATACAATAGGAGTATTTCGCTTTCGTATAATTTGTTCTAATTATTTATTAAGTACGTGCAACCTAAAGTGATGGAGTAATATCAATCACACACTAAGTTTCAGTCACACCAGTGATGAATAGTTTTGATAAATTTGATGATGAAATTTGTTTCATAAACTGCGAGGACCAGTGAACAAAAATTCCAAAAGAACAATTTAAGCCTTAGTAGCATCGGGTTATAGAACCGTACCACTCAGAAATCCTGAATTTCCCATATTTTGTTGGGTTACTAGCTCACCAAAAACCTCTCCAGACAGTGATTGAGTGACTAGTCCAACCGGTTACATTTCTTAATTATAAACCTTGTGTGCATTTTTTTAGCATTATACTTCCATCCTATGTACTACGTAAAATCAACTTTAAAATTATCCTAGGCTGGATTTTACTATCAACTCTTTTTGTGAAATATGTATTGCTACTGTTATTACTGATAGAACACGCCAGAGAACAGATATTGTTAGGATCAATAGAATGGGATTTGATTGGCTCTAGGATGCACTCTTGCATATAATCAGACTAAAAGACTGAGTACCTTCGAAGTTCGTACTTAATTTGCCATTGTTGAAAAATTATAACTGGAGTCATCAAGACCAAGGGAAAAGAGGAAGACCAAAGAACACATCATCTTGAAATGGTATTTCCAATTTGGCAAGTGTCTTAGACCTTTCAATTTTACGTATGTCTAACCAGTACGGGTACTTTTCTCTTTCGCGACGATACACAAGTAGATGTGACTATTTGGGGTCTAATTTTATATGTGTTGATTTATGTATCAACAAAAACTTTTACCAAATGTTCATGCTTATCGACATATTTCGCATTGCGATGCTTAGTAACATTCATAAACGGAATGGCGTCAAATATAAAGTGATATGCATCTGAGTAACAATGTGAATAAAGCAATACGCAAATAGGTTTACCGAACCTTTTCTATGTGCAGTTGGTGTGATATTTGTGTTGACCGTGTGTAAAAACCTTTGGGTTCAACATACTGAATACCATTCACCATAGGGTGACAACAATCTATACTTTAGCGAACATATTTATAGCATGAGTCATCTGCAAAACTAAATGTGCTTTTAGAAGTGCAGATAAAGATGTGGAAATTTTCGTTACTATTTATCGCATCCTAACTCACTAGAACTCAATGTAAACAAAGAAGATAGGATGTAATGCGTCATTAAGACTAGAGTCGACAAGCTTGCACAATCACTAAAATGGCAGTCTTCTTTAAATGGCACCTTAAGACACACGTTAACAACTTTCGAGAGAGAACTCGGAAATCAGTGTAGTTCTTATAAATTAAATATTTTGGTTTTAGTTGCAATACAATTTGAAAATAATGCTTAGCCAGTGACTACATCAAAAGTACATACATCACCACTTCTAAGTTGCGGGTGGCTATTTAAATCAGTGTACATTTCAAGTGCTTTATCATTTGTCTCAATCGACTATAATTATATAATATAATACTATACTGCATATTCATTTCTTATTGCCGTTTTTGTTACTGCAACAGCGTCATTGATACTTAGAAAATTTCATATTCAGTGTTGGGTTTATCCTGGATCCTAATAATCTTGAAACCCAACATATCGAATTGTCGCCGAGGGAAGGCGAACATTACCTAGGACGGTTCAACGCCTGATATTTATCAAATAACCTAAATAAAGATGAGATTGCTGTGGATTCCATGGCTTCTATACAAAGTACATGGTTTGCTGGAAGTTCCGGAATTTTTTAGCTAACTTTGCTTTGGTTCCACAAACTAGAACGATTATTAACTGGTTGTCTTCATGTAGTATCGTATTAAAGCCGTGATAGTGAGTACTACAACACATTATTTCATGCTCAAAATCAGGGATTTAATACTATAACTTAAACTAAGGCTTCTAAGTATAATTTTGGTGAGAAGCTAAATACTGAACACATTCGTCTAATCGCTTGTATGAATTATCCCGAGCCTGGGAAGTAGCTTATTCAGATATCCTTCTCTGCGTCCTCAATTGTCAACATGTTAGACTTTTGTGAATCCACAGAACCCTCAAATTTCTTCCGACAAATTGTTTCAAATCATGAAGTCTGATGGGTAAACCTAAATTTAAATCGAATTATTGATCGAGTATAAGATCTTGTTTTTTTCGTGTGATAGAGAACACCTTTACAGTTCACATCGGTTCTGTTATGCTCTTAATGCAAAATATGAGAAAACTGAATACTGCCACTCGGCTTATGAAAAATCTGAGACGTTACCGATGAATGCTTCGGCCGTGTTGTCTACTACACACGAAACAAGATCTAATACTCGACCAAGACATCGATTTCAGTTTGGAATTACTTATCAAACTTCATGAGTCAAAACGATTTCTTTCAAAAGACATTTGAGACTTCTACGTTGTTAGACTTATTTACACTCTACAATAACATATTACTCAATCTATTTTGTGAGAAATTTTGTCCCTTTTTAAGGAAACTTCGGAGAAGCAGTTATAGAAAATTTTAAGGAAATGGCACAAAACTCCAAAATAGGGAGGTCGGGAAGGTTTTGTCGTAATGAGTCTATTATTAACAGTTTGACAATTGGGGACGCATAGGAGATGGTCCATTGTTATCGCCATATCTATAACCAACGATTTATTTAAACTACGAAACTGATAAGTGAAGAAGTGATGGACTAAATAACTTCACTAAAGGAAGAAACTTGACGTAAAGTACTATTCGAAATCCCGCCTATGATTTACAACTTCTTTCACAATAGATGAGTCTTCAGTCTTCAGTGATAAAGAGAGTAGGTTGGTGAACCTGTATTAATCCTGACACATTGCTTTCCATTGAAGGTTCAGCTTCTCCTTGAAAATATTCACTGATGAGCGTTATATCACTTGTTCGGGTAAGGCGTTCCAGTCATTGACTACTCGATGAGAAAAACGGGACCCCACTTTAAGTTGATTTGATCGTGGTTTATGAACCTTCTCACTATGACCTCAGAGATTATTAGTGCTAGAGAGAGCAAAAGGATAAGACATATTAACACCCAAATCATAATATATGACCTTGGCTTTTCGAACGGGAAGTTTAGTACTAACGTGATTTGCATTTATCAAACTTTTGCTGTGTTCTTACGCAACAGAAGTACCATTTCAGTTCTAAAGAATCTATCTTGAGCTATACGTTTGGTAGATTACTATTTTTTTGAGTTTCACCATATTTAATAGTTACCTGTGGTTTTGCCTCAGTTTACTATTCGGTTTGTTTTTGTTTTTCACGTATAGACTAGTTTCAGTTTATAACACTCGTTTTATCCATTTTTGTCCGTTTTCAGTGTGCTTTTTAGTGTTTTTTAAAGGTCTTAGGCTCTTGCAAGCATCTATAACATAGTTTGCTTCAACATAGTCATGAAAAACTCATGCAAACGTCCGGGATGCCGTTTTGCTGTTGCAACTGGCATGCAGTGCGACAACTGCAAAGGTTGGTTCCACGAAGCATGCACAGATCTGACATCAACTGCTTACAACAGACTCAGCAAGTCAGACCAAAAATGGGTATGTGTCAAGTGCAGCACGGATGCTGTAGTTTTGCTGAGTAACATCATTGTCCTACTGACAGGTCTTCGGAACAAGTTGTCAGTTAACTTGGACAATGACAGTAAGAAAACCGGTAGA